GCGCGAGCTGGATTTTCGAGTACCCACTTTTGTCCGAGAAAGGGGTGGGTACACCCACTTTTGTCCATTTCCCTATTTTAAATGCGAAATATACATTAATCGGTTTTCGTCCTGGTGGACAGTGGGGTCAACCATGTTGAAAGTTGATCTCTTGTTGATGTCTTGTTTATTTTTTTAGAAAAACGCAAAAACTCAGCCTTTTGTGAGCACAGTTACCTTCCCTTCCGCACACACACACATGCAAGGAAAAAATTGCAGCTTGGCGGACGGCGACAATTCCAAGCTTTGCATGACTCAACGAACCGGAAATTTCCCAACACCTTGCTCGCCTCTCCAGTCTCTGATCGACCACAGACGAAAAGGTTTAATCTTATTTTGCGGGAGAGGTCCGTGTCAGCCCAGCCAGTCATGTAACATCCATCGGCTCATGAAGGAGGCATTTTTTACACCACATGAGAGAGTTGCAAACACTAGAAGCCGCTGGCGGATTATGATCCCTCGTCACTCTTCGGACAGCAGAACGCTCTGCCTATTGAGCTACAGCGACAGTTGAGTGACAGGGCTCGGAAAGAGCTGAGAGAAGGACAGGACGAAGAGTGGAGAGAGCGGAGAGCCTCGCACCACAATAATCTCATGTTAGCGGACAGACCACAATGTATCGAGGGAATGTTCGTAGAACGTGCCCTCGGTGCGTGGTGGTATGACAAGGCCTCTCACACATTTGCGGTGTGACAAAGACGTTGGATCTCCGGTAAGCCGCTTCTCCCAAGATCAATGTGGGAACTTGAGGAACGTTCCTCGTGTGTCTGATCATATCTGTGGTTCGCAGAATGCCCCCGAGAGGTACGTGCCCATCCGATTACATTGGACGGAGTCACCAAACTGCATAAACTGCATGCACCACGCACGCGGATCAGCAACAACACCCAGCGCCCGCATTGTACTCAGGAACGAAAGGGTCCAGCTCCACCGTGCCTGCACATCGAGCGTGATATCTGGTGAGAGTCGGGGAGACCCTTCGGTCGTACTTTCTGCCAAACTTCTGGTGCGGTCTTCCAAACGTCTAGCCTTGTTTCGCGCAGGTAGTCTACGTGGTGCGCAAACGACGATTTCGCGAGACACCAAGCTTTATGCATCCGTTGTGAAGTTCCGCGCGTGGCCCGATGAAGCTGTTTTGTTTGCCGTCCCGCCTTTTTTTGTTTCTCGCCGAATTCCTTTTGCATTTGATCGCCCAGCCCTATTTTTCTTTTCTGCCGAAGTCACACTTGCATTTTGCCGCGCCTGTTCGGGGCCGTGCGATCTTGTGTAAAGCAGCGTTGCTGTTTGCAGCATGCCCTATACCCCTATACTAAGCTGGCGACAGAGCAGCAGGCTCTCGTGACAGCGCGTCGTAGCACCGTTCAAGCTAGATGATCTGGGGCATCCCCGGGTGCGACTTTGGATACTGTTCAATATGGGAGAAAGTGTAGTTGGTTGAAGTACTCGCTGGATGTCAAATCATACCAAACTTCGTTTGTTTCAAACACTGGAGCAGCAGCATGGGATTGTCATGGGGTATTAGTGTTCAGCAGTGTCTAAGACTCTTTGCCACCGAATCAATATTTCTCTCCCTCAGTGATTGACATAGCCAAACATTAGCGCGGGCATTATACCGTGACGGTGTGACCAATTATGTCTCCTGTCCACTTTTTTTTTCTCCCTTTGCAATGATCCTCCGCATGTGATGCCGACGCTCTTGTTCGATTTCCGGTGCACGAGACACAGAGGCACATCAAAAGCAGTAGGCAGTGCGCATATTAATCTCAAGACCGACAGGGTTCTGCTCCACCTCGCGTCAGCCGTGCCTTCGAATCGAGCGTGCTACCAGGTGAGTCGGGCAGACTGCCCGACCCTACTTCAAACTTAAGTTCGGTCTTTGAGAGATACGGCCTTGTTTGTGGTTTGTGCAGCTGTCGTATATTTAGCACGTAGCGCACATCCGAACGAGACAGGGAGTTAGGTACATTCCTTGTGATCTTCCGCGCGTGGCCTGACAATTCAGCTTGTTTGCCGTCATTTGTTTTTTATTTTCTTTCCCGCCGAGTCGTTTGCATTTTGGCGCGCCCAACCCTCTTTTATTTTCCGCCGAGTCTTTTTGTGTTTTGCCGCTCATCTGGGGATTGCAGTCTTGTTTAAGCAGCGTTATCTAGCTCTGTCCTTGTCCTGAGTAAGCGAGGAAGCCGTAGCTCCTCGTGGCAGCCCTTTTCAGCATAGTTCAAGGTGATCTGGGACAAGCGCCATCTCGACTCTTGATTCCCTGTAGATTCATAGATTCCTTTCAACATGGGAGAATATTTAGCGCGGTTTAGGCAATAAGTCACCCATCCATATGCCATGTCATTGTTAGTTTCAGAACTTTGCTTGGCACAAACACTCGTACAACTGACACAGCAACATGGGACGTTCGTGGCGTAGCGTCCAGCAGCGCCCGAGGAGTCTTTGCGATTACATCAATTATTTCTTCCATGATTCAGCGCACAATGTAGCCAGCTTTCTCGGGGAGATGTCCCGTGACCACCTTTGTCCCTCTTTCATCTTCAATACGCTCGTGTTCGATGTCCCGCACATAACACGCACAGGCAGCCAACAGCAGTAGCCAGTGTGCCCATTTTATTTCAGAACGAAAGGGTCCAGCTCCACCGCGCGTCAACCTTGTGTGAAAATCAAGCGTCATCAGGTGAGAGTCGGTGAGAACGTCCAATCGTATTTCAAACTTTTGGAAAGCTTTCCGGAACAATAGATTTGTGGTCCCACAACAATTGTGTAGCGCGCAGCCTACGAGTCGCGAGACAGAGAGTCGGTGAGAACGTCCAATCGTATTTCAAACTTTTGGAAAGCTTTCCGGAACAATAGATTTGTGGTCCCACAACAATTGTGTAGCGCGCAGCTGACGAGTCGCGAGACAGGAAGCCACCTGCAACCCCTTAAGTTCAGCGCGTGGCCTGACAAGTTGGATTGTTTGCCGTCCCACTTATTTCGTTTCGGCCGAAGTCGTAGCATTTTGCCACACAATCCTTTTTTTTCTTGTCCAAACATGTCGTTTTTGCATTTTGCCGCGCATTTTTTGGCCGTGCAATCTTGTGCGAAGCAGGTTTGCTGTTTGCGGTATGCCTTCTGCTCTTGTTCTGGGTTGGCGACAAAGCCGCAGCGCTTCGTGTTGGCGCCTTGTGTTGGCGCTTCGTAGCATAGTACGAGCACAATGCCCGTTATCTGCCTTTTCGATACTGTTCCACATGGGAGAATTATTGCAAGGGATGAAGCAACAGCTGGTTTGTTCAGTGAACATTCCAGGACTTCGGTTTTTGCAAACATTGGTAAATGAGCATGTGTCTATCGTGGCGTAGCAGTGTCCAGCAGTATCCTCAATGAGTCTATTCCACCAAATCAGTTGTTTTTGTTTTCACGGTTCGCAGCAGAAGTAGCCAAACATTTCCGCGGGCAGATTTACCGTCGATGTCTGTGTTCATCGCCCGTACAGTGTTCGCTCGTGTGACACGCTCTTGTTCGACGTCTCGTACACGACAAACGGAGGCAGCCAACAGCATCAGCCAGTGTGCGCATTGTAACTCAGGAACGACAGGGTCCAGCTCCACAGCGCGTGCGCTTGCCTGCAAATCAAGCGTGCTAACAGGTGAGAGTGCGGCAGGCCCTCCAAACATTTTCCAAACTTTGGTTCAGTCTTCCGTGAGTCTGTCCTTCTGGTAGCGCAGTCGTCGTTAGCACGTGGCACGCAGCCGACGATTTCGCGAGGCAGGAAGTTTTGGGCATCCCCTTCGAAGGTCTGTTCGTGGCTTGACAAGCTGGCTTCTTAGCCATCCCCCCTCTTTGCGACTTTCGTTTTGGAGTTCGTGGTGGCGGACCCTGTCCTGGGAGTTTTTTCTTGAGCGGTATCAACCGTGATCAACGTAATGTCACGTACACCAATATTGCTTGGTGGCGTCCCCCGCGCGTCGCAGCAAGCCGGATAGTTTGAGGCGTATGCCGTGTAATGATGTATGATGCTGTACAACATGTCGTCCTATATATCGCCCCCGGCTCTAAGCATCACGTTTTATAGGGAGCTGTGTGTCGACGTCAGGCTGGTTTGTTTGCCGTCCCACCTCGTTATGCGTTTCGCCACCTGTTGTAAATCGTTTTGACGTGAAGCGACTGCTGTTTTGCAGCACACGTTCTGCCATTGTGCTGAGACCCAGCCGCAGGGCTTTGAGGCATCGTGCGAGCATAATAGCAAGCTAGAATATTCGCAGTGTACGCCATGATGATACGATATAGGTGCTGCAACAAAGTAACATCCGGTGCGGCGTCAGCGCATGATTGCAGCTGGCTTCAAGCAGCACGTTTTCTTTTGTTTCATGTGTTGAGCGTGTTGCGGCCTACGGGTATTTTGCATACTGTACATGTGATGCGATCACATGAAACACCTCTAAAATTTATTTTCGAAATGCTTCGAATGCTAAATCGACTTATCCCAAAGCGTCTGGGGGGGGGTAGTTCGCACGCCGCCACGCCGCCTGTCCACGTCAGGCTGGTTATGGTGCAGTCCCACCTTTTTTTATCCGCACAACAGGTACACTGTAACTTCTGTATCAATTCTTTGGCTCTTGCTCTGAGTGTGTTACCAAACAGCAGCGCTTTCTCGCATCGCTCTCCCGTTGTAGCAAGGTCAATTATTCGTGATGCTACACAACATAGCGTCCGGTAACTGACTTAAGCACCAAGTATATTTGACCATCTGTTTTCGAACGCAAAAGATGGCGATAGAAAGCGAGATATTCCGGGAGACCCTCCGACGCGGTGCCCAACGACAGACACGCGGAGATGTTGCGAGTTTGCCGACAGAATGTTTACCGCAACTCCGGTGAAGTTCGGCGTTGTGCCTGACATGTTGGCTTGTTTGGCGCATGCGTTTACGTGCTCTGTGTCGCATCTCTTCTTATTTTTCCAGGTATGGCGGCACGCGCTTACGGGGGACTGTGTTTTCCCGACGGAGACGGAAGCGACTGCCAGAGGGCACTCCGGCGCCTCGATGGCACCAAGGAAGCCTGGGTCATCACCTCGGACCTCGATTTCGTCCCCGGGCCAGTCCGTCAGGCATGTGCGGACACCTACCCCGCCAATCCGCTGAAGCATTTCGCCGTCGTCGTTCTGGACCGGACCTCTCACACTTGGTTCAAGCTGGAACGCACTCGGGCGGACGTGGCAGTAACCATCGTCAGACTTGACGACATCACGGCGTTGAGCAAGACCGCCGGTTACACATTCGAGGCCAGGGGCTGTCGCATACTGCAGTTCCTTGATTGCGAGGGCCGACACGGTTACGACTTGCTCTTGAACAACTGCCAGGTTTTCGCGCACAACTTTTGGAAGGAGTTCGTCGACGAAGAGGTTGACTTTCAGGCGTTCTTCGAGTGGGTGGGGACCATGCCGCCGTGCGATTCTTTTAAGAACGGTACGGTGGGGTAAAAACGAGCAGACATTTTTTCTTTTCAAATAGATTTCATTCTTCGTGACCAGGGTAATAGTCCATGCGATGCCTTCAAACTCTGTTGCAACACGACACAAGTTCTGGCTGGCTGGAACCCTTCATAAATTTATCGCCCGTCCAGAAGAATACCACGAAACCCTTGTTTGTATATTGTTGGGGGGTCTTTGTTGTACCTTGCTTATGTGTGGACGGTTGGCTAAATTCATAAAAGGCCTCCTTGTGGAATCACGACTGACTGTTTTAGGAGACCCTTGGGCAAGCGTGCAGACGCTTCACTCCGCTCTCTCTGAAATAATCTTCGTCGTACAACCGAAGGAGAGATCCGTGCGTACGAGTGACGTTTGCCATATGTTGTCGTGTCGACGCGGGCGAGCCGTTTATCGGTGCCGGTCGGTATTGGTCGCACACGAGGCAATCTACAGAAATACAAAATGCAGGATTATTTGCCGAATGACGCAAGCAAAACCGTCACGTTTTCTACGTTGCGCGACTCACAGCTATTCGGAGAATCGCCGTTTCTTTTGAGGCAGTACCGGCAAGTGACGATGGCGTAATCACTTTGTTTCCTTCCCAACGTCGCCCCCCACCCTGCCCGATCCCCCGTATGTCAAAATGCAGCTGTTCAAGCCGCCGCTAGGGGGCCTGCTGCCGCAGGGACCGTACTGCCGATTACACTGGGGCCGACTGGCCGCAAGCTGGTCGCAGGAACCGTGCAGCTCCCTGCCGACCTCTCCCACTTCACTACGAGGCGGAAAATCGTGGTGTTCGGACAGGCCGGTACCGGCAAGAGCAGCATGATCAACGCCATAACCGGTTCGAAGTTGGCTACTGGTGACGGCGTGGGCGGTGTAACTCGCACGCATAGGGCGGTCGAGAGGTCCTACCCAACGGACACGTGAGTTGCGTTGTACGTGCGTCCAGATCAACGGCAGGCATGAATGTGCGGAAGGTTATTGTTTGTCGCCTTGTCGTGTGGTTAGATCGAGGAAGACTATATTATCAAGGTATCGTGGGGTTCTTTTGCCCGTGTCAACGCTCTTGTCAGTTGGCGAACTAAACATATACTGTCGCATGGGTTCGTCGTCGTTCTTTGCATCGGTTAGTGTCGGTACCTTACATACCAATTAATGTTGAAGCTGATCTCGATCATATCTGGTCAAGTAAAAACGCTGTAGTTCAGGCAAAAAGGCCGACATGATATTGCCGCACTTTTTTATACGAGATTTTGCACACAACCAAACCAAGAGTTTCCATGGATTCAGGATCAATGGACTCATCGGCGTCGAGTTTGCAAGGATCGGACTTGTGGTGGTAGAGAAACCCCGTTCCATGTGAAATAAACCGAACAAGCATTAATACCATCTAGAATGCGAACAGCATAGATTCGTGAGAGTGAAACTTCAAGAGCCCGTGTCGAGAAAGCAAACACCGCCGCAGCACAACTTGACGAATTTTGACTAATAAACAGACCGTGATATGCACAATGACCGGATGGACCCTCCAGCCGTATGCGCGCCTCTGAAGCGGCAGTGTTTTGTCTACGGCTGGGCTCTACATAACTCTTTTGTTGTGTGTCTGTGTAGAGAAGAACGCGATCTTTTGTTGTGTCTGTGCAACTGAGCTTGGTGCTCTCGCGCACGTGAATTAAGTAGAGAAGAACGCGATCGACTCGAAATATTTGAAGTCGCGCATCTCGATATCGACCACCCCTGCTCCCGATCAAGCAACGCCGCACATGATTTCACGCCCAGCGTTTTCGCTCCTCCTCCCGCACCCCCAACCACCCAACCAACAATTGCATCGCAGAACAAAACTTGCTCGTTCGTTCCCCCGCCCCTGCTTGATCTGTGCGTGTCGAGAAAATAGCGCGTGGATGGGCAAATCAGCATTCATTGATGGTGCAAAAAATAGTGTGCGTCCGAAATCTTCCGATTATTATGCTCGCCTGTCTCGCTGGTAAGCTCGACCTACAGGTTGGCCTGAATCGGCGGCTAACTAGCCCCCATGACACGTCGTTTAAAAAGTTACGCGCATTTACGTAACGTCGCCATTGCCGGGCGTTTCGGCGGTGGGGCATCTTAGCGGCCGCCCGCCCACCATCCCGGAATAAAATTACTCCATCAAAATAGACCAATTTGTTTGGAATGTCCCTGTGGGCTGGTGTGCAAAAAGTTCAGGGTCCTTACTCGAACAATTGAGTACTAAACGGCGTGCCGATTAACTCCTGCTTCTTTGGGCTGGACCAGCTCGTATGATAACGTGCTTTAGAGCATAGATCTACAATGTCGTACATTGTTTTGTGAAATCCTGCTTCTTGTGACCAGTCAGCTATGTACCACGAGTGTTTCATTACGCGTGACCGTGCTACTCTACGTACACCGGTACCCTTCGTGCTGTTTTTCAGCGGTGACAGGATGGACCTCTGCATCTTCGACACTGCGGGCCTGGACGAATCAGCGGAAGGCACGGTTAACCCCGTGGAAGCGGTCGACACGCTGGTAAAGCTTTTCAGGGGCATCTCAGGCGGGGTGAATCTGCTGGTATTTGTCCTCAGGAGAGGCAGGGCGCTGTCCAAGCTGCTGGAGTACTACAAGATGTTTGCGAACGATGTCGGAGGTGAGAGTCATCACGGTCACGAAGGTATCAGCGACTTTTCTCTACCTTGCGATCCAAGCACGTTTTCGGCTAATGGCCGACCGCGCTAGCCGGTGACACCAGGTGAAGGTCTTCCGTAGCTGTACGACGCAGGAACTTCGCTCTCTTTCGACGATTGCCGCTGTCTCATTAACGATGGTTCCTCGCGAAAACAACACTCCCCGCCTCAACAGGTGGCAGGGTGCCCATTCTGGCCGTCGTGACCGGGTGCGAGGACCGAGCGGTCGATGCCGACCTGCAGTCGTGGCTCTCTGACAGAGTAGACGGCGTTCAGAACAAGGAAATGCTCCGGAAACTCGGCATCGTACCCGCCGGCTTTGCGTGCACTAGCTTTGCCGATCCGAAGAGCAGGCTCTTCACGCAGGAGGACTGCGACAAGTCCGTGACGATCGTTCTGGAGAAGATTCACAAGTTGTCGGCCGGTGAACCTATCGTTCTGTGCGGGCAATCACTTACGGAAGTTGCGAAGTTCATCTACAGGAGCACCAACAATGTGCTCGAGAAGTTGGCTTCCCTGTTCTCTTTCTCCAAAATCCCTAAGATGGCCTTTGGGGTTCCTAGAACGTTGGTGGACATCTACAAGAGAGCCGGTGCTAGCGAACAGGACGCAACTTCCAGGGCTGCCGAGGTGGCTCTTGGCAAGAAAAGGGATGACATCCTCATCAACTTGGAGAAATTTGGTTACTCCGATGAAGATATCCAAGCAGTCTTGTCGTCGGCTCTTATAGTGGCCCAGCAGAGGGGGTCATCTACATAACTTTTTGAGGCATGGCAAAACCGGGATACGGTAGGTGCGCCCGCAGATCGTTCAGGGGTGATGCGTATTTCAAAGTTGATTTTAGATGATTTTTGGCTCAGCGATCGTCTCAGGTTTGCTTTTGGGACTTCGTCCATTCCAAATTTGTCCAGATGCAATACCTAGTTTGAGAGGAGCGACGGACCCATATAGCTCGAGCGACACCGCCCGGCTGGAGCATGTGTTCCATTTTCGAGGTGGCATAGCAGCTCCGGATCCATCGGCAGCTGACTGGCGGAGTGCGGATTCATCATGTAGACTACGGACGAGAGGCCTTGATTTCTGTTTGCTGGTTCACTATTTTGGCGTCCGGACGTTCGGGGCGATGATGCCCTCAGGTTGGCGTGGACAATGTCGGGGCAAGAGCGCATGCCGATACAGGCGTGTTGAGTGTTTTGATGTGCTGGGTTCAGGTTGAGGGTTCGCATCACAACGTGTGTGAGTAGAGATAATTTGCAGGTCGTCGATCGTGTTTTGCCAGGGGACGTACAAGAAGGCCAGTGTACGCGAAAGAGGTGCAAAGGTAGGTCGGCATCTCTTCCTTTGCATCCAGTGCTTTCCAATGTTTCCTACGCCTTCCATTGGGCCTCAGGGATTGGTACTCGCCGTCTCCGAGTTTTGTGCGGTCTGCTCGGATACGCATTCATTCGTTCCCACGGTTAGGGTATAAGCAGCATTGGCCCGTACACGTGAGCTGCGTTGGGCGCGTCCGTTGTCTTTGTTTTGGGTGTTTGGTTTTTCTGGGCTGTTTTTTTTTCTTCCATCCAACATGTTCTTTTTGGGAAGGGTCGCGTCCGCCCAATGTTTTGACGGTTACATGATATTTTCAAGATACAACTGTACCATTGAAACAGGAACACCCTTTTTTTTATGGTGACATAATTTGATCGTGGATGCGCCGCGGCAACTTTATTGTTTTTTCTCTGGATGCGATTTTCCCTTTGCGTGCCTGCTGCGGCTTTGTTGTTGAGGGTTTGTTTTTATTTGCTTTTCCTTGATTTTCGCTTTCAGTCGATTTTCCTACACACGTTTGGGTACTAGCCTGTGACCACGGAAGGCGTACCCGATAGGATCGATCAGTGCGGATATTAGACGATACTGAGGAAGAGATTGTTAAGGAAAACAATATTTGCATACGCGATAACCAGTGGGTATGGGTATTGGATTGCTGCAGATGTTTGGCCTGTAGCGAGACTTTTTGTAGAACCGCGTACAATCCTCGGTGTGTCACCTTTTGATGCAGTATGCGCATCGTGTTGCACCAGGGTTGGTACATTTGTGTCGAACGATGGTCCTGTTTCTATTTGTTTGTTGTCCGTTGGTTCGGAGAACTGGATAGATACGAGGACGTTGACAGCAATACACAAAATCGTCCGGGGCCTGTCGTTTGGACATCCAACTGGGGGGGGGGAGCATAGTGTGTGGAACTATGGTTGGGTTGACTTGCATGGTAGTGCCATGACCGGTGAGAGGAACCTTTGCAATGTTCTATGTTTCCTGCGCGAAGGTCTTCGTATTGCGTGTACTGCATGTTGAAGCGACACGGGAGATGACTCGGGTGGCCGGCAGAAATCAGAGCTGCCCGAAGTAGTAGCATACGAGGCTCGTGGCCGGGCGCTTCGTAACAGCGGGTAGGCGCATGTCGTGTGTGGTGGTATTGCGGTAAGGTTGATTTACACTTATCGTCTAGTGTAAATAGTCACGATTGCTCAAACATATGCACAGCATGTGCCGGAGAAACGAACTTGGAAGCGCATTTAAATCGGTTCAGCTACTCTGCCAGGCGGAGAGTGTGGTGGCGCGCGACGATTTCGATGATATGATATCGCGGCCGATCCCTGTTGGACAGCGCTTCGGAAACACATATGATTGCGACGCTAGTGTCGCCGTGACGTCTTCGTGGTCATTGCCATCTAGACGCCACGGTCGGCAGGCGCGACCGGTTTTCTTCACCAGATACGTGCCCTACCCGGAGCAGACGGTACACGCACGTATTTTCACCCTTCCTTCCATCAGCACCGCCATAGAACGCTCCGAGTACTGGAGCACACGGTTTGCATTCGCCCGAACACCCATTTTTATGGAATCACAATCGCGTGCGATGCAAAGTTGCGGGGCAAGCGTCGCTGTGCTTCTCCATCAACCCTTCTTTGGAATAATTATTGAATTACCGAGTTTTTCGGACTTGTACTTTTGGACTTGCGTTTGGATTTGTTCTTTCTTCGGTATATGAAATATCGTTTGGAATACTCTTAGGAATTACCGAAGCTTTGGGAGACACTCATTCATTCACAACCCATCTGTTGCTGATGAGTACATGCGTTAAGTACCAAGCGCACACCTAGATAACGCGCTCCTCTCGCACAGCTCCCTTAGCCCAGCTTCAATTCAAGTCCGTTTCTCCTTTTTGAATCCCCTGCGTTGAACACACATGCTACCCAACGCTAGCCATCGGGTCCCTGTACGGTTGATTTAATCATACCAAACGACGGCAGCGTACAGCTTTGTCTGTCAAGTACATGTGCCCGTGAACATGGTCGCCTTCCGACCCCATTCCATGGTGCATGAGAATCGAGTGGAACACGCTACTCCAACCAACAGGGATAGTGTGACCATATCGCACATCTTCGCGGCAGTCGGTTTCTAGTCCACGACGGTGACTACCTTTGATGACGTGAAGCATTGTTCCCGACTGAAACCAACGCACGGCCGAGAAGGGGGGTGGTTCCGGCCTACACCTCTTGCCATTATTTTGACAAGGATTCATCCTAGACACCACGCTCGTGGCGTTGTCATCACGATGCCTCGCAGAATGTGATAACCCTAAAGGTTGAAAAAGGCGATGCGAACATTTTTAGCATACATCCCAAAGATGCTTTACAAACAAACCTAAAGCAACCCAAAACCATTCTGCAAGTTCCATGGTTCCGTGTTGAAGTAGATGTGGGTTTTCCAATCCGCCGCGCCAAACTCCTCGTCGTGTACTTGTTAGGGGGACCCACAGTGACCATTGCGGAATGAAGGCAAATCCATGTGTTGCAAGACCTTATAACCACTACCCCTCTGGCGCGTACGCGCGCAGCCTTGATCGTATCCAGTAAGACAACCATTCCCTCGCGTGCTCCCTCCGGAATCACATATTCTGTCTGTCACGACATATTCGACGGCGGGCCCCTTCCGCGATTGAACGGAGTGGGGTTCAGGTTGAACGTGTTGCCGAACCGGCTAAGCTTCAAATTTTTCATCTTCTTTTTTCTGACGACGCCAAACGGCACGTGCTACAGAAAACTCCGCTCAATCCCGGAAGGGGCCGGCGGCACAAACGTCCCCCCTGATACATACTTCGGAATTATCCTCGTCGAAATAAACCAAGACATCAAATCTTCTGCAAACGACAGAGTGGCCCCTGTCCAGGCCCCGAGTCCGACCACCACGGGAACACATGGTGCATAGCCGACCCTACCCTTGATGCCGCTGCCACCTGAGACAAACGGGCATGCTCACGCACACACACATGCACGACACGAATCAATTCTTCACGCTGCTCGAATTTGACGTTGGTCCCGTTTCCAGAAAGGCCTCAGACACAGCCAATCGAGACACCGCCGGTCGAGCCCTGTGCGCGGCAGTTTCCTACGGCGGCGAGGAGACAGTCAAATTCCTGCTGCAGCGGCCAGAGGTGTTCGAGACTGCGTGCACATGTCGAGCCACCTACATCAAGCACACATCTAGCTCGGATGATATATCGCCGCTCCTATGTTGCCTGGTGGAAAACTCCCTCAAAGTTGGCCCAGGAAGAGTTCTTCGGCTGCTAATCGACGCCGGGGCCAACACCAACACCGCCTTCACTACGTGCGCGAACGACAGAGTTGGATGCACCCCTTGCTGGAAATGGTGCACGCTCGGATTAGCGAGAAAGCACTGAGAGGGTGGAGCGACGACAGGAACATCGTGCACGGGCTCGAAGGAATGCGCCGTCTTCTCATACAGGAGGATGCGGTACATGCGGTGTATTAGGGGTTGGCTGCCGATACTGCTGCTGCTGGTGCGGGTGCGGGTCTGGCTCCGTCTCCAACAAAGCTGCTGCCCCCGATGCGGAGGGAAAGGGGTGCAACAAAGTCTCGCGTCGTACTGCGCGCTTTACTCAGAAAAGGTAGAAGACATTTTGGCGAGAGCAGTATCGGCCCGCTAACAAGAAAACCTCGTTGAAGAAAGCTGATTCAATATATGCGCAAATGCCTTTCTGTAACTTGACCAGGTACAGCAACGCCAAGACGGACGAGCTATGCGACCCGGTTGAGGACGAGGGCGAAGAGGAGGAGGAGGGCGTGGAAAATTGAATTTGTCTGTAGGCCAGCAGTGTGTTAACTTAATTTCGTGTGGTGTCTTCCGTTCGACGACGAGGGTAACCGTATTTTGTAGACGATTTCAGGCAAGAGGAGGCCATTCCGTAAATTAATTGCCGCCCGCGTACGGGACGAAACGGAGGTTTGCTGCGGCTGCTTAAAAAGTCTTCACCGTGTCGTTTCTTGCACTTGCCCGAGGACCCGGCCGTCGACTCGCACTTGTCCGAGGACCCGGTGTCCGTGTCGTCCGTGCTGTCCGCACCACGTAGACAACTTCTCGTTCCTGACAATATTTTCAATTCAACTCTAAACTTATAATGTTTGGATTTTGTCATAACATACCTTTTGAAAAAGGAACATCTCAAATCAGGCCTTCAGATTTGTCACGTCCACTTGAGAAAAACATTTTGAAAAAGCAATTATTGGGAAACTAGTCTCTCCCTACAGAAATCACCCGTCCTGTGTTGCAACGGATCATCAATACCCCTACCACGAAAGGCAGAGGAAAGCAGACGCCAATGTGTCTCGCATGAATGGGGAAAACCAGGTCTCTCTCTGCCGAAATCACCCTTTGTGTGTTGCAACAAATCATCAATACACCTACCACGAAAGCCACGTGCACGTGTCGCCAGTGTGTCTTGCATGAATGAGGATTAAAATCAAGTAGCCGGCCGTCGACTCGAATTCGTCCGAGGATCTAGGTGATCACGAAAACTTGTCCGAGGCATAGCCGTCGACTCGCACTTGTACGAGGCCCATGTGTCCGGGTCGTTTCGTGCTGTCACCCACAGCAGGTCAGCGAAGATGCCCCAAACTGGATGTATGTGTGGCGGGAAAACGTGGCCTTAACCCTGGGGGTGCGATCGGATCTGCTGATACCACGGGCAACAATGGTGTGTCACCCGTCAGGCGACGAACATGCTTGCCGATAAAGACAGGATCTCATCCCATGATATGTCTCTCTTCTCTCGAACGACAGGTTCACCGTTGATGCAATCCACGTTCCTCGATGCCATCGGGGAAGCCGTGCAGCAGGCCAGTGTGGAAGGGGAAAATCGTTGGTACCCCTCTACGAAGGAGCTGCAGCTGGTGTCGTTGGGCTTGTGTAGAGCATGTCGAGATGTTCGAACTTTAAGCGTGCGTGAAACGGTAGATTCACCCCGCAGTTTGTAGCGCCTTGGTCGCCACAGCTTGCCAAGCACGCTCGGGTAGAGAAGTCTCGCATCGAGTCGCGTCCCGTCAATCAGACCGTCGGTTTGAATTGGGGGATATGCACAGATATTTTAAGACCTGCCTCGCTGCAGCAGCTGCCTTTGGCGTGGCCTGCCTCGCTGCAGCAGCTGTCGTTCGGGTGGAGCTTCGACCAGCCCATCATCGGAGTCGTGCGGCCTACCTCGCTGCAACAGCTGTCAATCGGGTGGAGCTTCGACCAGCCAATCATCGGAGTTGTATGGCCTGCCTTGCTGCAACTGTGGTTCGGGAACCATTTCAACCAGCCCATCATCGGAGTTGTGTGGCCTGCCTCGCTGCAACAGCTGTCGTTCGGGGACCATTTCAACCAGCGCATCACCGGAGTGGCGTGGCCGAATTCCTTGCAGAGGCTCGAGTTCGAGAGCAGGTTCAATCGGTCCATCATCGGAGTTGCGTGGCCGAACTCCGTGCAGAGGCTCGAGTTCGGCGACAGGTTCGACACCAGCCCATCGATGAAGTTGTGTGGCCTGCCTCGCTGCAGCAGCTGTTGTTGCTAGGCGATAACAACCAGTCCATCACCGGAGTAGAGTGGCCTGCCTCGCTGCAGCAGCTGTCGTTCGGGGAGGAGTTCAACCAGTCCATCACCGGAGTAGCGTCGCCTGCCTCGCCACAGCAGCTATCGTTCGGGGGCCATTTCAATCAATCCATCGGCGGAGTAGCGTGGCCTGCCTCGCTGCAACAGATGTCGTTCGGGTGGAGCTTCGACCAGCCCATCATCGGAGTTGCGTGGCCTGCCTCGCTGCAGCAGCTGTCGTTTGGGTACAATGTCGACCAGCCCATCATCTGAGTTGCGTGCCCTGCCTCGCTACGCAGCGTCTGTTGTAAAATACGGAAGTGGATGGTTTGGCCGAGGCTGATCATTGTTGTGCTTTTTTATCAAAAGCTTGTAAATGGCGTATTCACGCTCTGCACGAGCTTTCTCGGTGTGATAAAACAGAGAAACGAGAAGTAGGGGGAAAAAAAACATTCGAGGGAAGGAAATAGAGAGAGAAAAAAAAGTTAAATCGGAGAGGGAAGTGGGGGGGTAGTCTGCTGAAAAATACGGAAGCGAAGGGAAAGGAGGGGATTGTGAGAAGAAGAAAGAAAATATTGTGAGACAAATATAATGGGAAACATGACGGGGTTCTAACTTCAGTCGGCGGTGAGATAGAAAAGGGTGAGATAGGAAGCTGATTCAATATGTCAGCAATCATCACCCTATGAATAGTCATACACTTTCATAGCTCCAAAAGAAAGGGATCTACCCGACTACGACACAAACTGGCGAAGCGTGCATGTGATGCCCTTCGCTCATACAAATCGACAGCAAAAATCCCGAGGTCAATCGGGGCACATAGTGACGAGATACCGAGATTTCAAAGAACTGTTCCCA